GGATTAAACTCTTAGGATTTAGCAGACAGCATCTATCACCGAGAACCTGCTTGAGCAAAACCTGGCCTTACCATTAGGCAAAGTGAGGCAGTGACTTCAGGCAGCAATTACTGGGGTGTAACAAAAGCGGTCTTTTGGCTAGTTCTTCTGATCTTGTCCATTCCCTTTTGTTGGAAGGACAGAGCTCTGTTCTGTAGTCCCTAACCTGGCCTGCTGTCCTCAGGTGTGATGAAAGATCCTATCCCATTGCCAGCATTTTACTGGCAGTTCAGTCACCCTCTGAATTTGGAATGGAATTGGGGCACCATCCCATCCCTTACCTTACACTGATATGGTTCATCTGTATGAATGCCAACAACTTGGTTTAATTGTAGGAAATCAGGAGCAGAAATCCTTTGGACCTCTCAGGCCACTTTGATCTGCACATTTGTGGGTCAGCACTTCCGCTAATCACAAACAGCAGCTTCCATCCACTATGAGTAGGGTTGTGCAAACTGCTGTTCTTCCTCCTGAATAGAACTGAAAGTATTGTTTATTAAGAAGTGGGCAGGGTCTTTAAAATAGAAAGTGCCAACTTCATTTACTGGAATACTGTGTCATGCAGATGCACAGGAAGGGGAAGAGGATGAGAAAAGCAAAGCAGCGATGAGCAATTGTCTGTTGCTTCAGAGCCAGGTACATGTGAAAGCCTAAACACAGTGAGCCCCTGGTATCCATTGGGGTTTGGTTCCTGAACCCCTTGTGATGCTCAAATCGTATTAAATTCAGTGGAATACAGCCCGCCAGCCCCAATCGCAGATGGCAGTCCCCATTGACCCTAATGGTGATGTGTGATTGTGGCCATGGCAGTATGGCCACCCATGTGCGTGCCACCATTAAAAGCCACAGGACTTGAGGTCCCATGTTTTTTTGCATCCACGAGGGTGGGGGTGATCCAGAATGACCCCCTGTGGATACTAAGGGTTGACTGTAGTAAAATTGTGTCCCTTATACAAAATGGCAAAATCAAAAATTAATATATTTTTAAAATATTTTCAAGCCATGGATGCTTGAATCTGTGGATTAAAATTTCGTGGATATGGAGAGCTGACTGTACATCAAATAATAATAATAATAAATATCCCGCCCTTTGGAGGCCCAATCAGGGCGGCTTACAACAATAAAA